CATATAAATTAAAATAAACATACGTTAACATGTTTTAATTGTTGCAAAATTTTGATCTCACGAATAATGGATGTGGATATTCCATTATCAATATTCTTTAAAAATAATTTTTTTAATGCAACATGTTTTTCCGTTTCTACATCATGTGCTTTTAAAACTACACCTTGTGCTCCTTCACCAATTTTTCCTGTTATTATGTATCTATCCATTTCGAAAATATTTGTAAACTAGCACTAAATTATAATATTAAAGCAATTCCTCCATTCAGTAGTAAAACAAATTCTTATTATTCTTTAATAAATATGAAGTATTAATTATATCATTTTATTAGTTATCAAATGATATTCAGGTCCTACACATAAATGTATTTACTTTCACTAAAAACAAAACTTGTGATATATGTAAACGTAATTAAACAAAAGATTTGAAATGTAAATAATTATGTTTAATGTTTATCTGTTTATTCGTTAGTAATGCCAATTGTGTCAAATAGTGGCAATTATGCGACTGTTTCCATAGTTACGATAATAGAAATTCTCGTCTAACCTCACTTTCATTTCAATCTTTTTACAAAGTAATACTTCGTAACTAATTAGTGAAAGTAATAAAATGTTAAAATTAATCATTTTTTACAGAAATTAGCTAATTTTAAAAGTGGGAAAAGTAATATATCTAGTTTTTAATGAAATTTTAGCGGAAATTGAATTCTTTATTTGAAAATATTTTTCTGTAAACGTATTTGTCGTTATGAGTAATAAAAGACCGAAAGATTTTTATGAAAGAAAACGGTATTTACATAAGAAAAAGTCAACGAAATCTAATCGTAAGATATTTTAATTCTATTATAATTTTTATTTTTCATTTTAAATGATTAACACTCATAAACATGTCATAATTTAGAAAATTTGCTTTGACTTTATAAATGTAATCTTTCTAAATAACTGAATTGAATTTAATATTTAACCATATTATGTTAATTGGTTATTATAATACAATTGCTTTTAGAATCGATTTTAGTGCTAGAAATTCCAATTTTAACATGTATGATTTAAAAAATGCTATTTATGAACTATATAAATTAAATTACTACATTATATTATTTATTTTATATGTGTACAATTAATATTTTAGAAAATAAAAATGATCAAAACAACCAAAAAATATATCAATCTTTGGATCCTATTGAAGCAAATAATTTATTGAATGTATATGATACCTATATTAATTTCAATATTCCTTACTATGGGTGGAAATTATTTTTTTATGAAGAAGGTAGGTACATTTCTTAAATCATATATTAATGGTAGATAATTTTATGAATTAAAGAAATGATTCATTTTGTA